AATAGTTTAAAGAGACACACCTTGTGTGACAGCCTGAAAGAGACGATTTTTGAGAATTCAAACAAAAGCTGCTAGTATCAATTTTTTAAATAAATAATAAATAATAATTTAAGGGTAGTATTAAATATTTTTCGAGTTACACGCGATTTCTGCCGACGTCAAAAATAATGGTAATTCACTGCTGCAGTGATTCTGACCTACGCTTTGAACTCGAAAATGCACCATCTCATACTGCTTGGTTATTCGTGATCTTTCGTCGCATTTTCAACTAATATTGTGCCGCAACCATCACATTCGCCTGATTTAGCCTCGCGTAACTTCTGACTATTTAGCAAATTCACATGACTACTCCGAAGACACCGTTTTGACTCAATTGAGGATATAAAAGCTGAATCGAAGAAGACTCTGATGTCCATTACGACGGAGGATTTTTCCAAGTGCTATGATGACTGGAAAATTCGTTGGCATAAGTGTATTGCAGCGGGTGGAAATTACTTTGAAGGAGATGAAATGGACAAAATTCACCTTTCAATTTGATCACAGTAGTAATACTATTTGAGATTATTGCCATTTTACGAAATATCAATTTTCTTCTGTGTTGGTTCTTATGATACTGACATTTAGACTGATCAACAATCCGCCATTGATTTATGTTTTAAATGACCTTAAGGGTTGAAATCGCAACGAGGAGGACACAGCTGTTTTCACTTCTTTACTTCATGGATGCTTAATTTTAAAAAAAGTATACAAAAAATTAAAAATAACAATAGCCTCTAGACTAAAATAATGTAATTCCTATTTACTTAGTCTTTCGTTAAGTCTCAATCTTTTTTTTATTTTCACGAAATAATAATTTTTTTAATTTCATAAGAACAGAGAAGAGAGTCTCTTTCTAAATAAAATCTTTGAAAAATTATTACCAGAGTTCATTGGATAGAAAGATAAATTGTAAATTTTATACTATTATGTTAAATTTCAACCGGTAATAAACTCCCTGTTAAGTATAAATATTTCTAAAGATATATTAATTCTTTAAAATAATAGACATTAACCTCGAAATATGAATATTAAATGAAATATTACGCATAAAGTGTTTATTTATTCTTCGTAAATAATTAGCGTTCGTATTTATTATAATAAACTCTTCTTAATGCCTTCTAATTGCTTTTAAGTGCTATTTAACAAAGGACCTTTAGTGACTAAAGTAGAAAATATTGCCATATTTATTAGAAATAATCATAAATACTTCCTCATCATCTAATTGGCCTTTCTCCAACCAGAAAGGGTGCTTTGCAATTAATATAATTGTGCAAAACCGCATTTTATTGGCGATAATTCTGACAGATTAGCGCGACTGTTTTTCACTTAAGTGGACTTAGGTGCAACATGAAAAATAATTTTATGCGATTTATTTGATTTCATAAACTATAATAACGACAACTGTGTTTATTCGATTAGCGTCAAATGAATTGCACTATTAACCAATCAGTGTGCTTAAAGGAGTATAATCCCTAGCAGAGCCACACGGCGTATACGTTATATCTATCTTCAATGTATTCATTGACAAGATTTATTTAAGTGTGGATAAAAAGTTTAAACTTGATAAAAAATTTAAATTATATTAAATTAAATAAAGTAAAATAATATAAAATAAAATTTAATTTAATTTAAAAAAAGATATTTTGAAAAAATAAACTAAAATAAACACTGACAAAAAAAAGACACAACAAAATCAAGTAACATAAGTGAAATAAATAAAAAATCCACAATAAATAAAAGAAATAAAATAATTTATGTTAAATAAATCCAAACATTAAGTACATGAAATGAAATAAAATAAAATAAAATATTTAGAAAATTTAAATAAAATAATAATTTTCTAATATTTTTTTAAATTTATTTTGGCTGTGGTATGTTTGCTTTTTTTCTTTCTATAACATTCTGTGAAAAAAAATCTATTTTTTTTTTTTTTAGAATTACTCCCATATTTTCTCTTTCAACTTCCAAACTTATAAAGATTCGTTTAGAATCCCCCTGTATACAAACGAGTTGAAAAATTGCATTCAAATAATCTTAATAAGCTGCAATTAAGCTAATCATAGGTAGGCAGGTACTAACGAGGTCTTGTCAAGTGCAACTCTTTTATGCTGACAGAATTAAATAGCAAAACGTCGTTGTGATCAGCCAATGCGATGGTCAACTGCATGAATGCACACATTTACATTCACACATCTATATATACCTGTATACAATGTTCTATGACTTAAACACAAACAGTTATGTTTATCTAAACCACACTCATTCTATACGAAGTAATAAAGCGATCAATGGCGTCTGTGGATTTTGCAAACAAGTTTATTTATAAATCAGTCATGTATGTGTTAACATGCAGAACCCTTCTTGCCTCACATATAAAGGCGCATAGCATACGTAATGTGTTTTGCCTGGCCACTTTGTTTACATTTTTGCAAATTGCAATATAAAGTTGCTCGTGTGTCTGTGTTTGATTTTGGAAGACCTCGACGCCTTCAACGTTCATGGCAATGTTTTAAGCCCGCTTGGGGTACATAATCTGCATCTGCGTAAGCGTAACACTGCGACAGCTCAACTATGCTAAGTCACAGCGACAGGTCCTACTAGTCTTAAAATTTTGGATTTATTTGCTCGCGTTTTCATTGCCTTGTTTACGAGCAGGTAATTACAAGTTTTAGTGTTTTCGATTAAACCTTGATTGGTTATTTAATTTATTCTGGTCAAAAAATTGTTATGGGTGTTTGAATGTGTGTGGCTAGATTGTTAGTTTGAATGAGATAAATATTTTTTGATTTCAGATAGGAGGGTAGGGTGTTGATTGGGTGCTGATATTGTGATATATTATGACTTAAGTGAGATATCATGAATTTAGTGTTGCTTGAGGAACATGGAAATTAACGTTGACAGAAATAAAAAAAAATAAAATAAGTTAAATTAAATTAAATTAAATTAAACTAAATTAAGTTAAATTAAATTAAATTAAGTTAAATTAAATTAAATAAAATTATATGAGTTAAAATAAGAGTAATAGAGAAAGTCTCTTCTCTCGGGTTAAGTCAAGTTATAAAGGCTGGAAGAGTGTTTTTTAAGGATCGGGATTTAAAGCTACTCAGCTAGAGAATAAAAAATTCAACAGCTAATATTTAAGATTACGTTATACATACATAATACAAATTTATGATTTTTTTTTGTTAAAAAAAAATGTTGTAAAGCATGTTTAAGTTAATATAATAGCGAGTTTATCTGCTATATAATCTCTTATTTCATTTAATACTTTATTCTTATTCTTAAATTTAATTTCTTTCGCAGTTCACATTTCTCACCGTGCGCATACCTAATATAAATGGAAAAAATAGTCGGTGTGACAAATGCTGTTGGTAATTAAGAAATAGTTTGCTCAAATTAAGGGAATCAATTCAAATAACGGTACAGAAATATTAATATTAAAGATCAGGAGAATGACCCAATCTAGTTTGATCTATAAATTTGGTCATGGTTGGCTAAAGTGGGTTTAGATTAAAATCAGTCAAGATAATTATTTCAAGAGACATCGGCAATGCTAACACTGTAACTGCGGCTAGGAAATAAGGTCTTAAAAATTTTATAAAAAAAAAATAATAAAACAAATATTTACATTTTTCAAATACTCTCTATGACTTGCACGACTCAGATTTTCACTCACCAGCTTACATAAGCGCTAAACGACAGGCCAGTACATACAAATTACACATTACTTGTATTATATAGCATGTTATGACACTTTTATAAGATTTTTGGCAACAAGTTTTTGGCTCCGCCAATCGCAGCATCGCCGCAACGTGGACGATCACGTTTATAGCAACTCGCGGCGGCAGACTTCTAATACAAGTTTTCATGCACGAGTCTAGGCAAACAGCTAGTATGGGCAACAGCAGCACTGCGGATTTGTGGTTGGTAGCAATTTAAGTTTTATTTTTGTAATTTTTGTATTTAAACTTTTTTCCGTACGTGAATTTTTAGACTTAAACGCCAATTATATAAGACTGCATTGGAGTTTGCGAAGCGCGCCGCTCGGTGGGACCAAATGACCGCATATAAAATGTTGAAATGAACTTGTGCTGCAGCAACTGTTGCAACTGCCGAAATTGCCAATGCGCGCCAGCAACAAAGGCGAAATAAATGAAATGAAATAAACTGAAAAAGCAAAAAAATGAGAATTGAGAATGAAAATAAATGCAGCAAGCTGCAAATTGCCAAGACTCGATCTTTAGCAATTTTTGGCTACCGCTTCTAGCTGCCACTGCTGCAACTCTCATTAGCCGCTTGTATGCTTGGTGGTGGCGGCTAGCAATATTTGCGCACTTCATGGCCTAGGCTTCGGAAGTGTGCCGTTCGTGTAGCCGCTGAGTTTTGTTTTTAGAATGTTGGATTGCGCAAAGATCGCAGGCTACGCGTAGTAATATCATTGCCACTGACGGCGCCGAGCAAGAAGTGCTATTTTGGATTTAAGACTAACACGTACATATATGTGTATGTTAGTATGTGTGATTGTGGCAAAATTTAACAAGTTGTTGTTTTGTTGTTGTCATTGTTGGTGGTTGTTGTTTAATTGAAATGATATTGACTTTAAAACCAATTGCCATTTTCTATAGTGTGAAATATGTATATTTACATATGTACAAATGCAAACGAACACGCATACATATGTCAAAAATAACATATACATATATGTATATACATAGTTTCCACTGCGCAATATCGGCAATCGAAAATCTTTTGCAAACCGGAAAATTAACTTGGTTTCCTTGAGCAGAATTTGCCTTCCAAACCAAAATATGCAATGTGTGGCTTCTTTAATTGTTGTTGTTTGGGTTTTATTTATTTATTATTATTATGGTTTTTTCTCTTTTGCTTATCGCACGTAGTTAATATTAAATTAATTTGGATTTTATTTTGTTTAATTAAATGGCTTTTGCTTATTTACTTACGGTTATTGATTTTAGCTCCTTGTGATATTAGCATGGACAGCGGGGTGGGGCGGCTGGTTAAATTTGGCATACCACCGTGTTCCCCGCCGCCACCACCCCCACCATCAGATCGATGATGTGTACCATGGCCGCTATTGTGGCCGTTGTGTCCATTATCGCCGGTGGTTTTCACAATGGTGTTGCGTCGCCCTCCGCCCGCCAAACCCAATATGTGATCCCGCGCACTGCGTCCGTATCTGAGGTAGTGTTTTTGTAACCCCATGTTTTAGTGCTGAAATTTTGTAAAATAATAAGTCTAATAAGTTTGTGGCTTATGCATTTGAATAATAAGAGTTTAGCTAATTATTGATTTAATTAGAAAATGTGAAAAGTTTTTGATATAGGTTTTTATAATTACTTCATTTTTTCTTTGTTTTTGTGTAAAAAGTAAGTAAATAACCCAAAACTCGATCGCTTTTTTTTACAAAAAGAGGTTATGCGAAAAGCTTTCGAACTGCTTCATCCTACTACCTTTTTTTCAAGTATTGTCGACCCTTGTCCAATGTGATTTATTAAGCCAAAATTGTAAAAAGCATTTGAGATAGAGCCATTTCTCACAGCAGCATTCTTTTATGAGAGTGAACTAAGCGGTGATCTATTTTGAGATTCCCTACTCTTTTTTTTTAAAGAAAAGACACATAAACATCAAATTTTATTATCATACCAAAGAACATTTATTTTTTCTCGCGAGATCTATAAAAAAAAGGCTATTGAAAAAATTACCAATTACTTGGATAACCCATTATTATGATATTATATTTCCATAGGTTATATATTTACAAATAACACACCAGAATTTCTAATCGATATTTGAAATAGTTTATGGGGTATAACCCTCTAAATTACTCAGTTAAATCAACTTCTGGAGTTTATATTTAACCGAAAGGAAATTTTTATGAGATCTCAGTAAGGTATAGCGGAAAAACTCTTTTAGAAGAGAAATATTTCTTTAACTTAGTCTAAAGAGATACTTAATTTTTTTAAGGAATAATATGAAAGTACCGATTTGATATATTATACATACAAATTACTAATAAAACCTGTAGATGATTAGGTCGATTAACGAAAAAAAAAATGTATTGATGTTAGTAGAAAAGTAAAGAGGCTTTATCGAAGAGTGCAAAAATCGTCTCAAAATTTAAGCAGTTATTCTAGATTTTTCTGAAGCAGATAATATTATATACAAGTATTTATTTTTAAAAAAATATATTTAAATTGCTGAAGATTTTTTACTATAAGCAACCTGGACCTATTAAAAATTTGACATTTAGTGTTTGTGGCGAAAATAAACCAAAGCAGATCAAAACGTAGCTATCCTACAACAAGTTTCGAGGTAATCGTTTGAATTACTTAGAAACACCAAATGGTATTCTGATAATGGCCATCGCATCGCTTGTGGTTAGATTGATTTGGAAACAACACCTCTTTAAGAAATTCTTCAATTGGAGGTAATATATAATTTCATATTAAAAAGTACTCGACAACAATTGAGAAAATATTACTGGCAAATTTTATAGATTTATTGATAATTAAAATGATATATATTTATCTACCATAAATGCTTTTTTTCAGCCACTTTTCCATCAAATGCTTGATGTATAGAATAGTGTCAATTTCAAGCTTTTTAAAATTTTTTTTTTGTTTTTGTATTTACATTTAACATTTCATACTGAATAACTTTTTCTATTCAAATTATCATACATATTTGTTTATTTTTGTATATCTTACTAAATGTGTGCATAACTTTTTTCAGCTTAAATCTTAATGAAATTAAGATCATGCTTCTTTTATAATTTGCATGTGTTCTAATCTTCTATAACCATATTTACATATTTCACTTCATAAGCACAGCATACTGCCTGAATAGCGCACGTTGCTCCATAAACTACGAGCTGGTCACGATTTCATTAAAAATATTTTCCAAGTGATCACAAATATTAATAACATATTTAAATACTTTTGACAATTGTAATTAATTTTATGTGGTTATATTATTATTATACTTTATTTATGAAGAAAAACAAATGTTCAATTGAGATTTGTATCGGAATGCAGTTGCAATGGAATTTGCTGATCATTATTAACATTTTAAATATTTTAAATTAAAGATATTATGTATAAAATATGTTGAATTCATGAGAGTGCAGCTGCTTAAGTGGATAGCTACTATTATATTTCAAATTCCATGAGCTAAAAGACGGCACACCCTATGTATATTACATCCGGACATATGACAGACATTTTATTGTTTTTAATAGGGTAAAACATCAAACCCGCTAAACCTAACCTAATCCCAACTCCAGACTCTTCTACGGAACTACGGAAAAATTATTATTTTTTTTAAAGCAATACCAAGAGCAATTCGATATATATATATAATTTCTCTTATTTATATTCTAAACTTAATATGCCCTAAGTTTGCCACGAAGTTTGTAACACCCGAAAGCAACCTATAAAAAAATGTATATATATGTATATAAATGACCAGCGTGGTGGCTTTAACCATTTCTGTTTATATGTTTATATACTCCCAGTTTTTGAAATATCGACCTGAAATTCGCACATATCCTGTTCTTCTCTAAAAGCTGTTCATTTGTCGGAACCGCAGATATCAGTCCACTGTCAGGTAAAACTTCACCGAAATCGAGTGCTGGTGTGGAGAACTTTTTATTTGACGAGTTATTTTCAGGAAATTTGTCACGAACTATTTTCTAAGCAAGGGTTCAATTTCTGAAAAAATTGGCCAGATCGAATCATTATATCATATAGTTGCCGTACAAATTGAACGATCAAATTGCTGTCCTTATATAGAAGATTTTTTTTATGACGACATATTTATTTTCAGGAACTTTGGCTTGAAATATTTTTAAAGCCAACGCTACAATCCCGAACATATAGTTCTGATCGCACTACTATTGAATGTAGCTACCATACAAAATGACCGGTCAAAATCACGTTCTCTTGTGGAGACTTTTTGTTGTGTATTATATTAAAGTTAAACGTTTTTTGTAATTTTTTTTTTTATTAAAACCAAACAATAGTTGAAGGAGGATGAACATAAGTGTAGAAACTCAATCAAATGAGGAGAGTCTGAGCGCCATTCACTTGGGAGTGGACAAAAACGACTTCCGGTCTTAAACTTGTCTGGGTCTGGGTAGCCAAAAATATCCGTTTAAAGGCGAGTTAAAGTGAAAAGGCGAATCGTTATCCTCAGAGTTATGCGCTGGGTTTTTAAAAGAATAAAACAACTTCGAATGAGAGTCTAAATTTAAAACTCGGCCATAACCGCGTAAAGGTCGTCTACGCCAATAAAAAAGAGCTAGTTTAATATTTTTTTATTTAGAAATAATTTTTCCACTTAAATTGTTTATAATTTGTTTTACATTTCCGGTTCAAGTTCAGCACCATTCAGTTCAAGTTAGCCATAAGTCAATCAAATTTAGTTTCGGTCAGGAGAGTTAGTTTAGTACTATACTTCCAAAAACAAAGCACCAACAATCAAAGTTCATTGGAGGTTTTTATGTTATTTAGAATTTGCACTGTCACTCTATTATATAAAAATATGATAAAATGCTTTTACCGTCTATCGTTCTGCGTCTATTGAGGCAGGGCAAAAGCATATATAAATATTTACGGAAGAATATTTAGTAAAGTAAATTTTTTCACACCTCATTTACAAATTGTATAACGCTTATATTTATTTCAAACTGTTCTTCTTACTTTTCATATATGTTAATGAGCAAGAATTTATATACATTTAGTAAATGTATACCTCTGAAAATTTCAAGATTTCAAAATTTTAAGTAACAACGATTTCACGAGATTTTATTCGATTCTAACTTAACTTAGCTTATTCTAATTTTTTGATAATACAGAGAAAGAAATACATAAACCCGATAAATAATATCCTATTTTTAACTAAAATTTTTTATTCGAAGAAAAGGCAATTCACATGATAAATAAAAAATAATAAGGACTAAATAAATTTTTAATATCCACATTTTTTGAAATTTGACTAAAAACTAATTTATTAAAAAATTATTTTAAATAAAAATGAGTATTTTTTAAATAAATTTTTACAATGAGAATTGTTATAATTTTTTAATGGAGAAAAATTTTTTCGTGAAATTTATATAAATAATTTTCGAATGTCTCACATGCGTTCCTATTTTTTTGTTAGCTAGTGTACATTTTGTCATTTTCAGCGCCATAAAATTTTGTCGCATTGACTCAGCGACTTACGGCAATATATCGTAAAGATGCTAATATATGTATTTGTAAATGTACACGTGACACAAATTAATATTTTTTCTTTATGAAATATATGGTCTTCAATTATTTGCTTTATCACTTGGCGAAAAAAATACTGCGGAAGCTAATGACGTCAAAATAGATGCCTACGTAAAAAATTTAATTTAAAAATGATGCCTGGAAAAATGAGGTAAAAAACGATCTTTCCGTAAAAGGTTTAAGTGATATTTTGACATTAATACTGGAACGAAGTGTTGTTCAAAATTAGCTTTCGGTACTTCAAAGAATGAGGTCAGCAATATTTGCGGTGATTAAATAAAAAGTTAGATGGAAAACCATTGATAGTCTATTAGATTTGCTGCAGGAAGATATTTGTATAATTTTAAATTATTGATGACCAATTTATATCGACCAAATAGACCTGATTCCACTTTAAATTAAAACAGTCGTACAACTATAAGCAAAATATAGTAAGACTTTGCTTATAATTTAAAAATTCTTAATTAGTTATTCAAAATCTATGTATGTACATATTTTTAGTACATCAGTTACTTGTCGACGATCTAAGTCTATGCCTCCTTTATACTAAGGTTCAATTTCGACAATTGTTTACTACTGACCGTCTAATTAACTTTAAGCGATTTCAAAACAATTGCTCAGTTCAATGTACTATGCACACACACATATATCCGTACATCGCTATATAAGTATATATAGTGCATACATAATATGAGTGTACCTCAGACTCATCTATTCAGCTTTAGCAAAAAACCACTATTTTGTTATTTGTCTTTCTCGCGTCAGCTGCTTTCCTTCGAATTCGCAAATTTATGAGGCGATTAATTTGTAAACACATACATTCAGTTATAAAAATGTCACATCGCAAAGGTGTTAATGTGTGCAAATCTATTTTATTTATTTGTTTAGAAAATTAAACATGTCAAAGACTTTACTGGCATTAGTTTTCATATT